TCTAAATGGATCATAGGCCTACATGTAAAACATAACACTACACAATCTATAGAAAAAAAATCTAGAATATCTTCACAATCTTAGTTTTATTTATAAATTTTTAGATATAATTTCAAAAGCCCAGTCCACAAAAGAAAAAATATATAAATTGGACTTCACAAAAATTTACTTTTTTTTTGATACTGTTGAAAAAATAAAAAGACCAGCCACAGACTGGGAGAAAATGTTTGCGAATCATATATCTGATAAAGCATTCATATCTAGAATGCATAAGGAATTCTTAAAACTCAACAATTAAAAAGTCAACCTAATACAAAATCAACCTAATAAAACAGACAAAGGATCTGAATAGATATTTTACTAAAAATGTTTTGTGCAGTTGGAAAATAAACATATAAAGATTCTCAACATCATTTGTCATTGGGAAATGTAAATTAAAACAGGAAGGAGCTAAAACCCCGTAAGACCAATATCAAAATACCTTGAGGATGCAGGCAACAGAAATTCTCATTCATTATTCATGGGAATAAAAAACTGGTACAGCCATTTTGGAAGACAATATGAAAGTTTGTTATAAAGTTAGAAACAGACTTATATGACCTGAGCATCACACAGAATCTTTGCTACCTACAAAGATTACACAGAAAAAAAGAAAAAAAAAAAAAGAATCCTTCATTCCTATTGTATGTAAAGGCTATAAATAAACCACTAAAAATTGAGAATTTTTTCTGATACTTAACAAATTTCATACCTTTTTCAGATGCAGGTATTATACACTAAGCAAATAAAATTCTCTTTCCAAGTGTATTACATTTTCAGGTGCAACTAAATCTCAGATAGAACCTTGTACAGGTAGTCTTACTGACTTGAAAAATCAGACAATAGAGACTGGAGGGAAAACAGCAGCTGGAAAGTGAAGAAGGAGGTGGGAATCCCGGAAAGCAGAGAGACCCAGAACAGGAACCAAATTCTATGTATAAACTTTGCTCACATTTCAGTCTGACTCTTGTACCCATACAATGGGCAGACCCCAAGGGGCCAAATTTAGGTTGAAAGAATCTCTATATCAGAGGCTGGGCATGGTGGCTCATGCCTGTAATCCCAAGCACTTTGGGAGGCAGAGGCGGGTGGATCATCTGAGGTCAGGAGTTCGAGACCAGCCTGCCCAACATGGTGAAACCCCATCTCTACTAAAAATACAAAAAATTAGCCGGGTGTGGTGGCATGTGGCTGTAGTCCCACCTACTCAGGAGGCTGAGGATGGAGAATCACTTGAACTCAAGAGGCGGATGTTGCGGTGAGCTGAGATTGTGCCACTGCACTTCAGCTTGGGTGACCGGAGCAAGATCTGTCTAAAAAAAACCAAAAACAAGCAAGCAAACAAACAATGAAAAAACTGTAAATACAAAAAAACAAGAATATGTGAGCCACAGACAAGAGAAAAGGCGATCTGTGGGAAGACCCTGGGAAGGAGCAATGGCCGGGATCAGCAGAAAAGGATTTGAACACGATGCTGAGAGACATAAAAGTACATGCTCACTGAATGAACATACAGGAAATCTCAGTAAAGAAAGAGAAATGATAATAAGCCAACTACAGGTATTGATCGACTTACGGCCTATGCAACTTACGACCATTCGACTTTACTGTTGTACTGGACCGAGCGTAGAAAGTCAGCACCAAGACAAAAGTATGCCAGATTGCAGGGTCATTTATTATGCCGGCGACCACAGAGGACTCACGTCTCTCCAACCTGTGGTGTCGAAAGGAGGGTGCCAAGACTTTTTATACCTGAAAAACTACCTTGGGAGTGGGGGTGAGGAGCGGGAATGGGCATGAAAAGGTTTCAGACATTCCAAGGGCCAGGGGATTTTGTAATTCACCTCCTGGGCGGAGACGAGGGTGGGGGTCTCCGGACATTCCAAGGGCCAGGGGATTCTGTAATTCCCCCTCCTGGGCAGAGATGAGGGCGGGGGTCTCCGGACATTCCAAGGGCCAACAGTTATTGTGAGGAGAATGGGGCAGCCGTTGCAACTTATTTAAAAAACAGTTTTGCATTTTGTAAAGATGGCGTTGCTCAGGTTCTGGCTTTAGGCCAGCACAATATCACATTACGACCACAATCGCTAGCCACGACTGCTCCATTTCTGGCAGCGCAAACGTTGCCCAGCTGGGCGTACGACAGTGTGGACCAGCTTCTGGCAGCACTACCATCTCCGTGTGCACCATTTCAACTGTACATATAGCCTACTCATCTTACGACCAAATCGTGTTACGACCAGTCCACGGGCCCGACCGTGGTCATAAGTCAAGCACTAGCTGTACAGCACTAGCTGTACTTATGACCACGATTGGTTCCGACAGACCGGTCGTAACACGATTTGGTCGTAAGTTGAGTAGGCTATATGTACAGTACTGTGAAATGATGTTATAAAAATCTTTAAGTCATATTTTATCATAATTTTCTTTCATTATTGTTACATATCATAATTCTCTTTGTTCATTTTATGCCATTTGTATCATCTCTACACCATTTTGTTTCTTATTTTTACATTCGTCAGGTTTAAGTAAAACACTGCATTACCAGTACAACTGGTTTAATATTTGGAAAACATACAAAATTACAAAATACAGGTGCATACAAAAATACAAAATACAGGTGTAAGAAATACCATAGGAAACATTTTCCCAATTGCAAAACATATCAAAATATATAAACATGTACGAAACATTTGATTGGCCGCGGATCATTGATGTCGTCATCTGAGGCAGCAGTTGGGGTTACCGGAGTTGGTTCTTTCATAAACATGGTGAGCTTTGTCTGAATTGTATGTTTCTTTTTTTCTTCATAAATTTCACCATACGGATGAAACACATTGTGCGCCATCCGTTCAATCCTTGCAAATCGATGTTTGGGTCCATTGCTTCGAAATGTATAAGAAGTTTATTGGGAGGGTTTTGATGAAAAATATCCAAGACACAAAACACAAATTGCTGTACCGAGTCTGGGATAACAGTTGAAATGGTGCACGCGGAGATGGTAGTGCTGCCGGAAGCTGGTCCGCACTGTCGTCCGCCCAGCTGGGCAACGTTTGCGCTGCCAGACGCGGAGCAGTCGTGGCTAGCTATTGTGGTCGTAAAGTCAAATGGTCGTAAGTTGCATAGGTTGTAAGTTGATCAATACCTGTAAAGATTATAGCACTTAATATGCCATCAGGATACATTTAATGAGATGGTCATCCAGAGTTATGGAAAATAAAAATAATGCTAAAGTTTGCTTGCAAAGTATTGGAGTTGTCCAAGAAGTGCCATGGGGGTGTGTGTAGGTGGGGGGGGGTAAATGGGTACTTTTGTGTGGAACAGGGTACAGGAAAGGAGTAGGGAACAATTGGTGTGTTATGGCACGTTCTCAGTGAAGGAAAACCGTTGGTATTTTTGTCTACAAATAAAAGAAGAGTCATGTGTGATAAGATTTAAAAAGCAGGGGAAGACCGGGAGTGGTAGCTCACGCCTGTAATCCCAGCATTTTGGGACAAGGAGGTGAGCGGATTACCTGAGGTCAGGAGTTCGAGACCAGCCTGGCCAACATGGTGAAACCCCATCCCTACCAAAAATACAAAAAATTAGCCGGGTGTGGTGGCGGGCACCAGTAATACCAGTTACTTGGGAGGCTGGGACAGGAGAATCGCTTGAACCTTGGAGGGGAAGGTTGCAGTGAGCCAAGATTGTGCTACTGCACTCCAGCCTGGGCAACAGAGCGAGGCTCCATCTCAAAAACACAAAAACAAAACAAAAAATAAAACCCAGGAGAAAAGGGACTGTAGGGATTAAAGAGGCGAAAACACGCAAAGAAACATCAAAGTTAACCAGGGGAAGAAGTGGAATGAATGATTATCAAACTCAGAAAAATAAGGTAAACGAAAAAGAGAAAACATCCTTCAAGTAATAAGCACAAAGAGGAATAAAATCAAACAGTCTTAACTGTGAATGAACTGAATAAACTCATTAAAAACAAAGACTGTTAAATTAGGTGACAAACTGAAAACTAATAGTAAGGTATCACAGACACAAAGTTAAAGCAAAAGGTGACCACATCACAAATGGATAGTGAGATTTTTTGAGTGTCAGCTTGGTGAGCGCAGACTGGAAGGGCGACAGTCAGAAGGGAGTTTCCTTTCAGTGGAGGTGAAAGGCTCCCAGCATGCAAATCCTGTGGCAGCAAAGGTGAGGGAATGGGTGATTTCCTGGCAATTCCAAGACCCCAAATGGATCCAAGAACAACTGGAGCATTTGAAGTGAGCAATTGCCTGAGTAAAGATGGGAAGGAGGACCTGGCTACAGGAGAGGGCGCCTCAAGCATCACCCGCCTTTTAGAGAGCAGGCTGAATTTCCGATAGTTAAGCCCTTCCAGAATGGCAAGAAAATGAGCCCCATCCTCAACCCTCCTCCCCAACCAACCCGTCTTTCTGAAGCCAGAATAATTTGAGTTCCAAAGGCTAATAAGTTCAGTAAAAACGAAACTAGATACCAATTTCACATATTAATATGGAGTCAAAAGTTTAAACAAAGTATTAGCGTAAAGAATCCAATAATGTGTCGACAACAAGCAGATTGTTCCCGGAATGCCAACGTGTTTCAAAAAAAGATGAAAACGCCAATAAACGAAAGCAGAAAACCTATCTGGACGCATCAACAGATGCTGAAAAGGCATCTCCTAGAAGTTGGCAGCCAAACTTGGTAATTCTTGGATGTGATAAAGGCGACCGTCTGCTCTGCTCGGAGGGGACTTTCAACAGGAGGGGCCGGATGCAGGCGTCACATCCACCGCGCCCCGGGTCGTAGACCTCGGCCGCCCGTCCTGGCAGTCCCAGAGCCGCAGGCCCGGCACCGCCCGCGTCCTCGGCGCGGAGCCCGCAGCCAGGTGCGGCCGAGACCCGCGCGCCCGGGGAAGGTTGGTGGGGACAGGCTGCCTTGGGCCCAGAGCGCCCACGCAGGACGAGCTGCGCACCGCGGAGGGCTGCGGTGGGGGCGCCAGGCCGTCTTGCTCCGCCCCTCGCCCCGCCCGCGGCCCTGCGGTCTGGAGGACCCCGAGCGCCCGGCCCAACCCTCGGAGGGAGGAGGGTCCAGGTGCCGCAGACTCTGAGCCCCTGGCCCGGCGTCCGCCCGGCAGGACCCGGCACTCCTGGCTGGTAAGCCCCGCTATTGCGTGCGCGGTGCTTTCAGAATATACGGTTCTTCAGGCAAAAAAGTTGTAGGAGAGACGCCTGGATTTTTCCCAAACTATAAGGGAGTATCTTAACTATATTTAAAAAATTAATTTCAGCTAATATCCGGAATGAGACACCAATGTCTATCATCATTATTAATATTTTCTTGGAGGTTTTAGTAAATGTAATTAAAACAAAAACATGAAATAACTGACACGGACATTAGAAAACACTGTTACTACTTCTGCTCTAACTTGCTTCTCAAACTGGATTTTCTAAGTCGAACTCCATAGCACCTTGTTCTGTGGTTCCATGTATGTCTCCAAAGAGTTAACAGAGATCTTTTATTCTTTGTGTGTGTGTGTGTGTGTGTGTGTGTGTGTGTGTGTGTGTGAGTGTGTGTGTGTGGTGGGGGGGGGTGGGAGAAGAGGGAGGGGGAGAGAGGAATTTGATATGTCAACCCTAGCCACTTTTATGATTATCAAATAGCCATGGAGGACATTTGTATTACATTAGGATCAATCACTTTCAAAAATACTTATTCACTAGCAAATTATCAATAATTTAGATTTAACCAAGTTATTTGTAACTCCTTATCACCACATGTTTATCTTCTGCTTTCTGGAGATGTCCATATTGATTCGATTTTTGCTTCTCTGGGTTATTAGTAATTAAAAAATACAAAGTATACTTTCTGAATCCTTACATATCAGAACTCTTGTCTTTTGCGTCAACACCGGGTTTATAACTTCGACACCTGGCTCCAGTGTTTCAGGTAAGTCTCATGCTGTTTCAAATTGTAGGTCTCTGGGACCTGTGTATTTTTTCTCTTTATCCATCTAATTCAGAGCTTAAAGCCTCCATGATTAGAGCCTTGGAAGTACAAAGTTAGGAGAATTAGAATCCTCAATGGCTCTCTAATTTTGGTCCATTGTAGGGAAAGCATTTAGTGATGATGTACTTGTGAAGAGACAGTACACATGTAGCATCTCCTCAGGTTGATGCAGAAAACCAGAACAAAAGGAAGTTTAAGGATGATTACACACTCTTCACGGTATAAAATAAACTTTTCCATAGAACAGAGATACCCCATGTCAAAATTATTTTATTAATTTCTAGTGTCAAATTTTGAAAAGGTTTCTTAAAAAATGTCTCTTAAATGTTAAGATGGCCTAGTCTTTCAGGGAAAATGTTTGTAATTCATCCGACAAATACCTGATTAGCTGCCCTGTGCTTGGAACTATGTGGATAGGGTTTTGCCCTCATGTACTAGAAAACGTATTATCCTGAGATGATCTAATCAACTGGAATATATGTTCACAGGGCAAATAAATTACTGTTCAGTGAATGAGACCGACGAAGGCTTTGTGGAAGAGAGAGAATTTAAAAAGGGACGGAGGATGGGTAATGGGTAAGATTTCGGCATGCAGAATTCCTGTGCAGGAGGAGAAATCCAGCATTCTGGGGATGGCAGACAACTGCAGGCAAAGGGACAGATAGCACAGGCCCCAGTGTAAGGAACAATGAGTAATTTCCATATGAAAATCATGGAAAAAGGCAGAGGAGGAAATGGCCAGGTGCTGTTAAGGATGGGAGAACATTTTCAGGGTCACTGACTAAATAAAGATAGCACACAGGAATAAAAATAGGCATATCATATAAAAGAATTTATGACAAAATACAGAAGTAGCACCTGTTGGTACCACTGCAAAAAAAAAAAAAAAATTAGCTGGGCATGAGTTGAATTTACTGGCTGGAAGTTTTTAGACCTTATAGTCTTCAAGACATTTACAGGGTTAATATTTGCTACAGCCACTGATTACTATTGATTCTGGGGTGGAAAAAGCCGACATAACTTAAAAATCTTTTTTTTTTTTTTTTTCTGAGACGGAGTTTCACTCATGTTACCCAGGCTGGAGTGCAATGGCGCGATCTCGGCTCACCGCAACCTCCGCCTCCTGGGTTCAGGCAATTCTCCTGCCTCAGCCTCCTGAGTCGCTGGGATTACAGGCACGCGCCACCATGCCCAGCTAATTTTTTGTATTTTTAGTAGAGACGGGTTTTCACCATGTTGACCAGGATGGTCTCGATCTCTTGACCTCGTGATCCACCCGCCTCAGCCTCCCAAAGTGCTGGGATTACAGGCTTGAGCCACCGCGCCCGGCTAAAAATCTTTAAATAGGGCATCTTGGCTTAGGTTGTTAACCTCTTTACACAATGAACATTCCTAGGTCACGAGAATCTGTTTACAGGAACTTGCTTAAAAATATGAGGTGTGTGTGTGTGAATCCTAATAACAGATCGATTATGTATTTTTTT